GAGCGACAGGGGGCTGTTTCGTCATTACGCGGCGTGCCTCGGAACGTTCCGAACTCGGTTTCGGTTGGCGCCCGGGGGGCGCGGGACCTGCGCCCCGCGTGTCCGGATCGGACTCGGCTTATTTCTGTTCATTTGTTTTTTTTTTTGGTGATTTAAGTGACAATGACATGATGAGTGGGGACTTACCATCGTGCTAAGGGCGTGGCATTACTTTCAAAATAATCATGATGATGATAGCAATAATTTGGTGTTCGTGATTGCGCTTTCCGATTTTGGGCAATAGGGTTCAAAAGGGAAAGCGCGCGATTTTACCGCGGAGGTGTCTGTCCGGCTTACTGCGGTGTGCCCGTGCGGGGGGACTTAAAACCCCGGCCGTTGCCCGGACTGGCCTAGAAATGCGGGCGTGCTCGCCTGGCTCACGATCCCGGCACTATTGTCATCGTGTGTGTGCCAGTGTCTTGGCTTTGTGCCATTGCCGTGTTTGCCAATACGATCCTAGGTGGCCGGTGCTGGCCTTAACAATAAAAAAAAGAAAAATAAAAGTAAATAAATATATTTAAAAAAGTCGAAATTTTTTTGGATTTTTCACGATTGGAAATCTATTCTTGGGACTATAGAACAGCCCGGTAGCACGGTACATGAAAGGCTGTTAAGAAACGTCACAAACAAAAGTCGTCCACATCTTGGGACGTCATGAAGAACCCTAGCGACGGAAAAAAGACGAGAAGGAGGAGGGTGAAAAAGTTGGGGGGAATCTTTTCGACTAGTCTTTGCCTTCTGACATGCATTGCGTTATAGCATGCATTGCATGCCATATTTGCTTCCTATAGAAGAGAAGCCACCTGAGTATATACTTCTTAAAGCTTTTCACGGTGATCAATCTCTCATGATTGATACAGACCGGATGTTGTTTGCTTCAAAAAACGGGGACCTGTAACATGTAAGGTCCCAAGCTCTAGGTCTCGAATTCAATCACATCGCAGTGAGACACTTTTGCTGATTCGATCGAGCTGTTAAAGTTCAAGGACCACATTGAACAAATTTAAAGTTCAGAGATCACATTACACATTAGGTCAAAGTTCGGGGACCATTGGTGTCATTTACCCTAAAAACAATAAGTCCGTAAGTGTTAAATGGATCATACAAAAATGAAACAAGTAGCACCTTGGACTTATTTATATTAGAACCAACACCCGCCATGTGCATTCTGTAAATGAATTATAGCCTTATTAAGCTATATTTTTACGAGAAAATTAATTAAAATGGAGAACAAAAAGAATTGTTTTCCTTTTAAAAAGCGAGACAAACCTCCATTTTTCGCTTGAATACATTGAAGATATGTCGGTGGATTAGAAACATATTGTCCTTTCATTTTCCTTCAAGTGAGAATTTGAGCTACAACGACCCAAAAAACTCTCTCTCCACATACATGTTGGTCTTAAGGAAGATTACTTTGCATGCTTTCGATTTACCCTAGCCAACTTCCGTGAACCGTTGGATAATGTGAGTTTCATGTGGAGCCCATTAAAAATTGAATTTATAGAAACGAAGATATCACAATAAAAAAGAAGAAGAAGTCTCAACTAAGGGAAAAGTGTCAAAAAAGTCTTAAACCTTTTGCATTTGTGCTGATTGAGTCCTAAACCTTTTGTTTTTTGTGCCAATTGAGTCATAAACCTTTTGTTTTTGTGCCAATTGAGTCCTACCGGCTAATTTTGGCAAGATTTTGCTAACGTGGAAGCCAGCTGATTGCCGACGCTAACGTAGACAACTTTTAATAATATTTCGATATTTTATTAAATTTTTACTTTTTTCTTTTTTTTATCCTCCCCCACCCTCCTTCCTCCAGCCAGTCGCCGGTTCGGCGATCGGCCAGAGGCCAAACCTCTCTGTCCATTGGCGAGGTCGAAGGCCGTGACCTAGCGGCCTCTGGCAAGGGCTGGAGCTTCACCGGCGGTTGGGCAAGGCCCGGACGAGGTCGAGCCTCGCCCAGCCATGGCGAGGGCAAGCCTTGCCAGCGGCCAACGAGGGAAAGCCTAGTTAGTGGTCGGCGAGGCTCACTGGCCTCTACCCTCTGGCCGGTCGCCGAACTGGCAATCGACCGGAGGACAGAAGGTGGGGAAGGAAAAAAAAAAAAGTAAAAATTCAAAAAAATATTAAAATATTATTGAAAAGTTGTCCACGTCAGCGCCGGCAACCGGTCGCTGGTCGGCCTGCTTTCACGTCAGCAAAATCCTACCAAATTTAGCCAGAATGACTGAATTGGCATAAAAAAAAAAGGTTTAGGACTCAATTGACACTAATACAAAAAATTTATGACTTTTTTGACACTTTTATCCCCAACTAGGAAAGCAACAAGACCACTGGCTAGACTCAGAGTACTAGATGTCTAAAATGGCAAGAATTCACATCTTATTTCATGTAGTGGATTGGTCATATAGTTAAGACACGCCTAGTAAGAGTAGACAAATGTTGCATGTTGCAAGGTGCGTGTAGGAATCGATCTATTTTTCGATGAGAAGGACGAATCCCAATTCAAATCCCACCGACTCCCATTCCACGTTTCTGCTATATGAAGTGTATTTTTGCCTATGATTAGAGCATGCGGCTTTGTTTGGTTTCTTAATTGGTAGCTACATCTAGGTTTCGATGTAGTTAATATTTCATTCTAATATGGATGTACCGAATCGGTTACGGATAACTCGCACTAGAGGCCTCTGTCATTCCTCATGATTAAGTGCGACTATTTTTTTTTTTTGGTTGATCTAATTACCATTGCATTCATTTCCACATAAATATAATAGAGAAACAACGTAGTCCAGCTACAAACCAGGACAAATCTCAAAAAACTTCAAAACAAAACGAATTGCAGATAATAAGATAAATCATCAAAACAAGGTTAGGGTCACACGCTTAAAAAACAGATTTGTGACTTCTTTAAACCAAAATCGGTGGCCGATCACCGGATCCGTCCTCAGTAAGAAACACATACCAAGATCTCCATATGTTACTACGTCTTTCCTTTTAGCGGTGCGCGTATAGGTTCGGGATCCCCAACACCATCGCCGTTCAAATTAACAAGGTTGAACGAGTACATATTTGACACTTGTGAGAGTGAAACCTTTATGAAGGTCCTTCGATTTTCTTCGAAATTGGACTTGTACACCAACAAAACTCGACGGAAGAAAAACCTTGAAATCATACGCGCAAAACATCCAAAACCTATACTAGATAGGGATAGAAATCTCTTCGAAATGGGAGAGAAAAAATTCCACATTTAGATTAAATTAGAAGAGAAAAGTTCCTCAAAACGAGAGAAAAGTGAGGAAAAGAAAACAGAGAACTACATCAGCCAAAGGAAAAAGAAAAAGAGAGGGGACGAAGAGATCTAGCTGAAATCCTCCCCTTCATGGAGATTAAAGAAGAATGTTGTGTGAAGATGAGAGGGAGAGGAGAGAAACCTATGGAGGAGAAGTGCGGCTAATGACTAAGCTGAAAAGAGGGAAAATTGTCCGAAAAAATCTTAAATTTATTGTACGACGGCCAATTCAGTCCTAATATTTTTAATTGCGCCAATTGAATCCTAAACATTTAGATGATTTGCCAATATTGTTCTTTTGGCTAATTTTGACTAGATATCTCTGATTTAACAGTTCAGTTAGTATCGATTGTCCTACATGACACAGCCAATATTGACATGGACGATTTTGCAACTCCTTTAAATTTTCTAAATCGAGCCTAACCAGATCCGGTTAGGGTGACCCTTGCTTGTGATCGACAAGGGTGTCTCGGCCCTCTCCGGTGAAGGAAAATAAGAAAAAAAGAAAAAAGAGAAAGCAAAGAAAAAAGAAAAAGGAAAAAATCATAAAATTTTTAAAAAATTGTAAAAACCATCTACGTTAGTACTGGTCATGCCACGTAGGACGACCGGCGATACTGGACCGCTACGTCAGCAATTTCCGATCAAAATTGGCTAGAATGACTAAATTGGCAAATCGTCAAAAAATTGATGATTAAATTAGTATAATTGAAAAGTTTATGACTGAATTTACCGTCATAGGGTTAAGACTTTTTGAATAATTTTCCCCAATCTATTGCGGCCTCTGGGCAAGCGTGCCTGCGAATCTTTTACATTTTCTTTTGAATTTTATGTATTTGGGGGATTAATTTGGATAGGATTATGCAAGAACAAACTTTTTCTTTTCTATTGGAGACATTCCTTTAATAAATTCCCTAGGAACTTTTGTAGTACATGTATGAAGGCGGCTGCCGTGCCGCGGATCTAAGGTCCCGACCTCGGGTCCAAGTTCTCCGAGCTTAGGTGACTTCCGATCTAGGGTTGCTCGAGTCTTGTCTTCCTTCGAAGAGAGAGCAGCGGGCGATGGCGGCGGGAAGCAGGGGACGACGTATTAAGGCATGGGGGAAGCTGGCCGCGATGGAGGTGGAGGCAAAGGGGCGAGGGAGATAGAAGGAGAAGCTAGGATTAATTCGAAATAGTTTTGGGAATAAATTGTTTTAAATCATAGAAATAGTTTGATTAATTCGAAATAATTGGACCAATTCAGTTATCTACTGTACAGGAACGTCATGTATCCTGTTAAAACGAAAATGTTGTTTTTAGCCATGTTTCTTTTTGCTTCATGAACATTCAGAGACACATTTATGACAAGTGAACCAGGAGAATAGGATTAATCTTCACGTTTAGCACGTTTTGGAACATGTGCTCTCACGAGGAAAAGCAAACAGGCTTCGCCAAGGTCCACTATAAAAAGGTCAATATAATCAACGAAGCAAAGACGTCCATTCTGCGGGAAAATTGTCCAAAAAAATTTAAACTTATTGTATAAAGTATTATAGCGATCTCTTCCTTCGGTCAGTAAAGAATAATACTTCACTATGCGTATTGTGTTGTTTTGATATGCTTATTAGCAACAATGAACAGTCTGATGAAATTTCAAAGTGATTGATTTCTTGTTCTAAAGAGGAACAAAAAAAATTAATTGCTAGATGAAAGAGCAAGACATTATGATATTATTGGCTTATTAAAACAACTACGGCGATGCCATGCAACAGATACTTAAACAACAGATATTACGTTTAGACAAGGAACAATTAATTGTAGAAAAAGAAATTAATCGCTTTAATTCCTTTCTCTGGTTCCCGATTATTGTCGTCCATTTTCTAGCTAGGGCAGAATAGTAGACCTTATTGATTATCAGTCCTAACAAAGCACTCGAAACACGCCGAACCAAAGGTGATTGTCTAATCCTTCATTATCGTCGATCAACCTCGCAGATGGTATATGGGCACGGCGAAGAACTTCATCATCCCGGTGCTGCAGTCGTCGCCGTCGGACGAAGCAAAGTAGTAGAGTCTCATCCCGCTCAGATTCACCTCGACGCCGTCGCCGCCGCCGTCCTCGGTGCTCGCGATGAGCTTCGCGTCCTTGAAGTCGCACTTTATGAAGCTCCACAGGTTCGGCAGCAAGTAAACATTGTGGGGGGCCTCGTACTTGAACACTGCATGCGTATACTTCCAGTCATAAGTGCAGCTTAAACAATGAATAGATAGTTCAAGTTTTCATAGGTAATGAGGAACTTAATTAAGTGCACTTTCTCAAGTTACTTACCGAGTGTGTCGTTGATGTAAAAGGGGCTATTCTTGAGAGACCAGTCAGTGTAGTTGAAACCGGGACGCCAGTTTTCGGACCCTCCGACGACGATGCTTCTGGCCTCAGCCGCCATCACGGCGGAGAGCACGAGGACAAACGCTGGAAAGGCGTAACTGAATCCCATCTTCATCATCGAACAATCAACCCTATCGCTCGAATTATCACGAAAGATGGGAGAGCAAGATGAGGAACTTGTGTTGCACTTGAGTTTCATCCAATGAGCTTTATATAGAGGAATTCCATGGACAATTTCCAAAGGACAACTTTCACAAACCCTCTTTTCCTCGCTTGCATTCATTGAAGACGGATTCAAACTGGCATCAAAGCTGCGAATTCAATTCCAAGTTTTCGTGCTGCATGATTTTATCAGTCTTCTCCGCCATCGCTTTCTCATTTCCTATTCACCTTCGTGGCCTCGCTTCTCGGCCTTACGATCAAGAATAATGAAGAATGCTTTTAAGGGGTGTGATGGTAAGTTGATTTAGTGGTTGACGAAGAAATGTTTTAGTAGTTTTTTGTGAGCTTAAGATGGTGAAGATATGATTATGGAGGCACTGAAGGCAAAGTGGGGTTTGGTGGACACGATTTGTGTCCCACGGTCCAACGGTCAAAGCAACGGTGCATGAGCGCCAAAATCGAACCATCGATCCGGCCCATTTTCTAAACTTGGCCTGACTGGATTTTGAGACTCTCCTCCAAACCATCTGTTTTACCAGTAGTATAACAAAACATGCAATTATGACAATTTCGTAAGTATACTTAGCTTGAGGTAAGAAGCCCTAGGGATGACCTGGAACAAGCATGGTGTCTGTTGTGATTTGAACCCATAATCATGACTCGGGAGGTGCAATCTGCTTTTAATTCTTAAACTTGGCTAAGCCCTCGTGTTTCAATGTCCTTTCATGGCTAGCTATTTGGCTTTATTTGGTCAAGTTTTTCCAAGGTGCTTACGAGAAATGCAAAGGATTTCAGCTTAAAGGGTTTTGGGGAAATGCAAAAACTGTTTGGTTAACTGTGCTTTGGGAAGCAAATTTGAGAAAAACGTTGTTTGGTTACAAAACATTTGAAAACTCCGTTGGGTGACCAATTTAAACTTTTAATTTTTAATTTTTTAAAATTAGAAAAAACAATTACCACAATTTACACAATTTGAATATTAACGTATTAACAGATTTATAAATGTAAGAAAATCACATTCTTTTTCTGGTTAAAAAAAATCGAATTCCACGAATATAGCAATGTATCAAAAAATTCAACACATATGAGATTTTATGGAATCACTGCCAACTAAACTAAAAGTTTAAGTTATTAAATGAATGCGTGATTTATTATTTAAATATTTAGATAGGGTAATACTCAAGTTTGAGAGTGAGTAGGTGAGTCAAACACAGGATGACTCGCACTTGATGGCACAAGGAACGGAACCAATTTCATATGTGTAGTCCATGAACACATTTTCATTTCTTAATCACTATGCCAATCACATGACGTTTGCAGCATGCCATTCTTGGCCAAAGATTGCAAAAGGGATTCTACTTATTGCATGAAAAGCATTATGACAAAAAAAAGCTAGGGAGATTGAAATGCTTTTCAATCTGTTTCATTTTAACATTTTGCCAATTGAGTGTATTGGGCCAATTTTGGCCAAAATCGCTTACATGCGTGCTATTCATCCTACGTGGGACGGTCGGTGTTGGCGTTGACAATTTTTATAATTTCTAAAATAATTTAAAATTTAATTATTTTTTCCTTTATTTTTGGCTAACGAGGACCAGCAAGCCCTCGTCGGCCACTAGCGAGGGTTGCGGCCCTCGTTAGATCTTATCGAGGGCCTCCTGGCTCATGACTGGCGGGCAAGGGCGCGAAGATCCTCACCCAAATCTAGCGAGGATCACCAGAAGGAAAAAAAGAAGAAGAAAAAAACCAAAAAATCAAAATATTATTTAAAAATATCCACATCAGTGCCGGTCGACCATGCCACGTTGGTTGACCATGCCACGTTGGATGACTAGTGTTCAGTTAGCGATTTCCGGCCAAATTTGGCCGGATGAATTTAGTTGGCAAAATGTGAAAATATTAGGACTAAATTAGCCTAATCAAAATGTTTAAAACTGAATTGGTACTAATACAATAAGTTGAGAGATTTTTTGGTACTTTCCCCCTCTAATTTAGATTGGTAATTTTTAAAGAAATTGGTAAATTATTTTTTGTCAATAAGTGTGGCTAGCGTTCCAACCACAATGGCCGCACACATTGACAAGCAGGCAACCGAACCGTGGCTCGTCTGCCGGTCGGTGTGGAAGTATCATTATGTTCCGGTGAAGCATGTGGTTGTTCCACTAGTTAGTAGCATGTATGGCACGGTACTAGAGTCCATGAGGAAGGAAGCAAAGTGTAAACTTTGGGAGGGCTTACAATGGCAAAAGTGTTGGTGACCGGACCAGGCGATCATATAGAGATTCCCGTTCTTCTTTATGTCGCATGTTATTATCGCATGCATTGACACATTTTTAACCAGAAATGTATGCTGAGAATTCATTTTGCGCTCGCACACTGGCATATGCGTGAGGGGATTCTAGCAATTACAAGTTGACGTTGAGCAAAGTTTCTTGTTTCTTAATAAGAATCCTTACTCAAACACCACAAGCAAAATTCATCGCAAACTCTTAACAGCCGTGGGATAGAAAAATAGTGAAGATTTGGATCATTAAGTCCTTCCAGTTCTCGTGCACTATGATATTTTACATAGGACTTGTGAAAATTTGCAAGGAGTGACGACTAGTTACGATTGGAAATCTATTCTCGGGACTATAGAACAGCCCGGTAGCACAGTATATGAAAGGCTGTTAAGAAACGTCACAAACCAAAGTCGTCCACATCTTGGGACTTCATGAAGAACACTAGCGACGGAAAACAGACGAGAAGGAGGGTGAAAAAGTTGCGGGGAATCTTTTCGACGAGTCTTTGCCTTCTGACATGCATTGCGATATAGCATGCATTGCATTGCATATTTGCTTCCTACAGAAGAGAAGCCACCTGAATATATACTTCTTAAAGCTTTTCACGGTGATCAATCTCTCATGATTGATACAGACGGGATGTTGTTTGCTTCAAAAAACGAGGACCTGTAACCTGTAAGGTCCCGTAATAGACTTCGGCATACGTCCACCTCCTTGTTCCTCACCCAAGCTCTAGGTCTCGAATTCAATCACGTCACAGTGAGACGCTTTTGCTGATTCGATCGAGCATGCTCTCTGCTAATCAAAATCATCGGCATACAGGACCATCCAATCATCTGACAGATCGAGAATGCTTTTCTCACCCTCTTGTTTATTGCTCATACCGCACGAGTCAAGTGAATGAGATTGGACAATCCGCAATACATGGAAGAAAAAAAGCTTAAGAACCCCGGAAGAGTCGACAGACACCCCCTGCCTACCAAAAGTTGAAAGACCGCTGGGAGAGTTCTAGCTGTTAAGCATGAAACCAAAACTTCATCCATACTGCGAACCGATAGTCATTCTCGATCTTTCGATCTTTCTCCGATCAGTATGAAAAGATAACACCCGTCTCTGTTTGCCCCGTTGGTTGCCGTTTTAACTTTTTGAGAAGAAGAAAACATTCAGCTAAAACTAAATTACCACACGAGTCAATTGCATCATTCAACAAAGAGTGTTATAAGCACGACATTTTTGTGAATCTATGCAAAGTGTACAAGGAAGCTGAAGTACGCTCATAGAAACCTGGTGGGAAAAAACTCATGTATCCTGAGAGGGTAGCTGTAGAACTCGTCGTTCCGGACATCCCCTTTCCTGTGCTGGAAGGGTCCCCACCAGGGCATTCCTCTCTCGCTTGCCGTGTGCTTCGCCTCGAGCGTGTTGTCCAACAGCACTCCAACTATCATCGCCACGGTCGGAGATGAAGAGAAGATGGTATTCAAAATATCATTGAACTGCACGCATTACATAAAGTGATATCATGCCCATATAAATAACCTATCACCTATCCGCAGTGTAAACTAATTGACCGACTACTAGCTGACGAACTACACCCAGTTGTAAGCATGTGCAAATTAAAAACAGTCGGAATAAATAAATCTCGTCATCACACAGAAGTAAAACTGTCTTCTTTGAGTAGCATATTGCTGAAGTTTAAAAAAATAAATTTAAGAATCGGAGAGATTACACTAACAGAGCCACGCCATAAATAGGATTATGCCCCATTTAGCAACAATGTCCTTCTATATATAATATATAGCTCCATCTACGCTCACTCCCAAATTTGGTTAATTCTTTTAAACATCATCACCAGGAAATAATCGAGTAGAAAATGAAGCACCAAGCAAACTCGGACAGGGAGGACCATTTTGTACAACTTACCCATCCACCTTGAGTTTTAACAGGTCCATGACCATCTGGAGAGGTGTTCAGGACAAAATACTCGGCTATTGATACCCCAAGGAAGAGCGTGATGCCCAAAACATAGTGGTTTCTCATAGAGTTAGTATTTGCAAACTGTGTGAATGAGATCCCCACGGCAACTACAAAAGAAAAGAGAGTTTTTAGTCTATGATTAATTGATAGAAACAAGGAAGAGAAATGGAAATACTTGAGTTGAAAGTGCTAACATACCAACAATGCCTAATACAACACAATAGATGGCGCCAAATATTGGTAGAGGAATAGAAGCAAAAAAGGCACCGAATTTTCCTGACAGACAAGGCAACACAGTCAAGTGCCGCATCATATGATGGTCATAAATACCATAGCCGAGCCAAATTACATACCAAATATGGAGAAAAAGATCATGAAAGCAGTTGATATTTGCACCACTCTTCTGCTCCCTATGCGAGTCAGTCCAAGGAGGCCAACATTTTCTCTGCAATCATAATTGCAAAACAAATACGTGAGATCCTTCTTCTAAATTATCATATGGATATATATGCCCAAAAATCAGTAAAGATGATACAGTACAGAATGGACCTAAGCTTCTCAATCTACATAAACTAGATCTATTATAAGAATAATACAGGCGAACCTTGAATTTATGAGTAAGTATCGCTTGCGAAAAAAAAGAACTACTCAGTAAGCCTTTATCCCCCTCAAGGCTGAATAACTACAAAATAAATAGTCAAAGCAGGGGGGTTCCATACACTGATGCAGTTGTACCCACAACAGAACCAAATATCCCTACAAGCAGCAACCCAATACCCTGCAATACGAAACAACACATCAAGTTGATAACACCAATAGTTTACTTCCCACAGAAATTTGATAATAACAGAGCAAAAAAGGAAATCTGTGACTCTACATGTAGGCCAATACTCCG